AAAATCCCTGCAAAGCTTAACATGATAGATTTTGAAATTCAGTATTTCATTTTATTTCTTTAATAAATATATTGTTGCATTTGCAGATCTAGCATTGATCATAATTTTGGACTGAAAATCATTAGATCCCTGGCTCAATCTTTTGAAATAGCACAATTTTTTGTTTCATATAAAACATCCCTGAGGCAGGGGACGTTAGTAACTCTGTCGATCAAAAGTCAAATAATAAATTAAAACATGAGAGTATATTTCTATATACATGGCTGGATTTTCATAACATTTATCACAAATCATGAAATGTTCACTTATGTATACATCTTTCTCCCTAATCTGAAGCTTTAAGGTTCAGTTCTGAATGAAGGCAACAGGCTCGATATGCTGCCAGTGGGCTTGTCTAATTATGTACATATTTTGATTACCCACTCAATATAAGCATTGTTCTTAACGCAGGCATTCAAGTCCTGTGGGCACATTTCTACTTTTGACTATATTTTGTTGTATAATATCAGTCTTGTATGTAAAAAATCCTTAAAACAGCACCTCCTATACCACTGGCCGTTTGCATTAAAGCTTCTTTCATTCAGATTGTTATAACTTGTGTCACCTCAATATGTACCAATAATTTAAAGGGACTCACTCCATTGAGGTTTAAAAGCCTAAAACATAACATTTGAATTTCTACAGAAATGAGCCGGGGCACTTGATACAGAAATATATGCACAGATAGTGAAGAAATATACTTTGAAATAAATTGAAAATCGATTTTTTATGCTTTTCTCAGCCTGATCTTCGTGAAATGTGTTTAAACGCTTTTATTTTGGGTCATTTTTTTACAATTTGAATAATTATTCTTGAAAAACGAAGTGCGCAAATGATCTGAAATTTTTCTCAAAGATAAGTGGTCAAAATATACATCAAGTGGTACATTAATCTAGAAAATAAATTTCAGTCTCATCATGTCAAAAAACTTCAGTGGAGTTCCTTTCACACAGTTTATCTGACAAACTAAATTTCATTATCTCCATATATTTAAGCATTTATTTTTTATATCACATATATTTTTACTTTTATGCAAGTTTTGACAATAAAAGTTTACTTTAAATCATTGTTCTTTGTTTTGCTATGGCTTTAACAGCATGTACATCAATTTCATACTAAAACACAATTAGTCATGTTTGAACTTACACATGTAAGCACATGATGAGCTTTTCTTGTCCTTGAGTTAAAATAAACAGTCTCTTCATTAACTATGATTAAATAATGCTTATGGCATGGTCTTGAATTCCTATGAAGTAGTTATATAAGTCATGGCCGATTTAGGTCAAACTGAGTGGTTCTTTGTGTTCATAATGCAGTAGTATTATCTATTAATTCACTTATTAGAAACAGAATTACCTATGATTTCAACTGATTACGAGTGTCACAACTTATGGGTTTGGGGCCCTGGGCCAAGAACTAGTTATCAGCCCACTGAACATGAGTAGTGCAAAAACAGAAACAATGACGTCACATTTTGTGTCATCAAATCAGCAAGCTGTAGATCGAAGCTTGCACATATTCCTTTGTTTTTAATTCACACACATTGGGAATTTCTATGAAAATTTCCTTCCAACAGTACTTTCAGTGCTTTGATTATGACACCCCGTCCGTTTTCTTTTTTTGTTTTGCTCGTGCGCCCTGTCCGACCTGTTTGGTGTCCTGCTGTGATATATTGGTGATTGACAGTTGATACTGGAAAATATTTATGATTACATATTAATATGCTAAAATATGAAAAGACTGTCCCACTCTATTTATCAAATTGAACAATACAGATAAATTTCGATGAATATTTTCAGATATTTCCTGTAGCCATGTGAGTTTTTATTTTCTCATTTATGTGAAGTAAATTCTAAAAATGAAAAAAATTATGGCAAAATGTAAACTTATTTTAACTTTCACCTATTTACTCACTATATATACCTTGGATGGGCATTATGTCACTTTAAATTATATGTACTATCATTACGAACCATTTTTGAAATAACAGGGAAGCTTGCATTGATTTAGTTTAAAAACTCGACTAAGCTTTTTGTATTTTCCTTCTGCCTGCAAGTGATACCCAACCAATTTCATGAAGAAAGTTCGCGATAGATACTGACCTTGTTAGAACAGTCACAATTCGCGCGGCATCGTATTCAATATTTTTAAGTATGTTTTGTTCATACAAAGTACATAAGTTCCACACTAAATATGCATATTCAATGATTTTTCTCAAATACGCTATATAACTTTGATTAAATGGGTTTTTTTTCTATTTATTTCAAACTTTAATCGTTATAAGCAGAAGTAGTAATATTCGTAATATCTTGATGCCTTGTACCATCCTCTGATGCTTATGGGAATAAACAAATTTGAAACTGAATGCCGGGAATTTCGCGATTATTTTTTGGAAAATTGTTGTGTTCGGTATAATAAAATAAAAATCATATCCCAATGAGGGTGATAGAACAAAAAAGCTTGACCTTGACTCTAATGTGTTAATGTGACGTAAAACCCAACTAAAAGAAGAAAGAAAGAAGATACATACGTGTATGACATTCAGTAAAACAAAATCATTTAAATCTACATTTTCAAAATGTTATCATTTTTATAAAGTACAAACTCACTGACACGGAACGATTTAAAACGCTCCCTTTGTATCAAATTTAAATTTTAAGTTGCATGTAGATATTATTTCACGTAAGTGATTGATGTGTATGTAAATATTATCAGTTAAAGTGGCGATAAGTTAACAGACTTTAGCTGAAAACGGTCATACTATCAAAGGCAATGTCAAGTAATGATGAACTACATCAGCATGGCCAACATGTTCTTTATCTCTAAGTTGACTTTTTTTCTGATCATAGATTAAAATGCTGTGAGTCTAGAACCATATTGACATTCGCAACCTGTTGACCCTTTCAGTCAAACGTGGTGTTTCGAATGAAATATCGATAATGATTTTATATTTAGTTTAGACATATTGCATTCCATAGCATACACAATGTATAATACAACGCTTAGAACTAGAACACTAAAAATAAGAACAAAATATACCAACTCTTATACAGTTTTATCTCCAAATATATTTACTGTACCACATTTTTGCTTTTCATTCCATACACACGGAAATTTTATTGCAGTCCATAAAATCGGGGATGAAATGTGAATAAAGTATGATTAAATGTTGTCTTCTTTAAAGTAGTGTGTTCGTTAGATTTATTTATGCAAAATAATTTATCGAGTTTTTCTGTACGAAATCTGCTGTGGTCATAGTATTATTTTTACAATAGGTTTATCTCTTAGATTTGGTTTGCTAAATTGCTAATCATGGTCATGCAAGTACATAGTTAGGTGAAGAAGCAGGCGCTTGTTTTGGTTGAGTCTATTATGTTTTGTTTAGGGGGTTGAGTTGTCATACACAAATTTACAATTTATATGCATTTATTTTTTTCCAATGATTGTTATTATCTTAAATGCTTCTGGGATTGTTGTTTTATCAATTCATTTGTAAATAAGATTGTTATATATAATTATGTCTATTAACGGAATAATTTTAATGAACACGAAATTCGTTCACACCTACATGTGTATTGGTAACGTAATGGTTTAAGCCAATGAAAACACGTCAATATTATTATACTCAGGCAGAGAAAAAGTGTGCAAAGAGTAAATCGATAATCTTTATGTAGCCAGCAAACTTTGAATTGCAAGTATGTTTTCATATCTTTTCGGCAGAATAAACTTTTCGAGGATTCGTATCGTAAAATGACTGCCATTTACAGTATCAAGTGATTATCCCAAGCACCACCGCGACTTAGCGCGGGAATTTTAATTATAGCTAACCTCGGCGCGTATACCTTTTTCATATTTTATTGTAATAAATATTTACAAACTGTGTCTTTCGGGGTTTTTTTTTATCAATATATAAGCAATAATGAGGTTAATATGAATAAATAATCATATCTCAAATCTTTGACTATGATTTACAATGAAATTCTACCTTAAGTGTATTTAAAAGGTTTTTAATTTCCTGTAATTTTATTTTGTGATTATGCTTCAAAGCAGTCAATTGACCGTGAATTTTCTTTTCATATTTTGATTTCCTTGAAATCATTTTTCTCATCTGAAGGCATGCAACTTTAATATGGTGATACATTAATTACATTCCATGAAAATGTTTAAAGATATAAAATATCTCATGACATGTTTGTTCATTTTACATTACACCTTTAATTCAGCAAACATAAAGTCTTCACAAAAAGTAGTATGCAATCGTACCTATATTACATACGAATGTATGCAATATTTTTCTTGTTTATCATTTGACGTAATATTATGTCCCAGTTTTACGTAGTGCATGCTCCAGTATGATAAATTTAAACTGCAGTATATTTGCATTACGATTACCTAGGATTACTTTGCATTATAACTCAGGGTTTCTTTTATGATATCCTATTAGTTTGGCCTTGAACTATGTCTGGAGGAAATTTAAGAGCAGTGTTTTATGGAAAAGAGGATATCCGTTTAGTAAGTTGTAGTTTCAATATGTTTCATGCATTTTTAGTAAAAATGTTTGAGTTATAAACATCTAGTAAACTTCTTTTTGTATACAAGGATGAACTACAAATTTTCACAAATACAAGACAAGGTCAAACTTTGTCGCTTTAACTTAAAGCTATTCCAACAAATTGTGCGCTTTAGGGCTTTTTATTATATAGACGATGGTCGCCCTCCGCACAGACATCTTTGAAAAATAAGATTATAAAATCAGACGAAATATTGAGACATACTTAAAGCATAACATCGTCTAATGTTATTTTAATCAATAAGGTGTAAATATGATATTAATAGGTAATGCATAAATATTCGTATCGATCAAATAAATTAACATGCCAGCTGCGTTGCTTATTCGAATTACTGAACAGACTGCCATTTTTTTCCATTCAGAGTGAAGAACAGATACCAGAGCCGGCCCAGGACGTTTGTATTTCTATATACTTTTTTTTATAAATCATTTAATCAAGGAGATATTGTCATTAAAATACAACTCGTTTCTCTATCTCTTTTGCACTGCAATTAAAGTTATGAATTGAATGTTTCAATGCGTCTGTACAACATATACACCATGCAACAGATGTCAACATAAACCGACTTCTCTATGCAAATATGGCAAATACATGCAGTTGAGAGAATTAAATGACAAAAATATATAACGATAATAACATAATAAAATTAGAAACTACTTAAATGCAAATTCTGTCCATCTGTCCAACAAAACATTTTAGCGAACGTCAATTTGTTCATAGGACTAGTGGAGTTTTGCTACCAAGCGATAACTTTTATTTCATGATAATATTTTAGATAATATAGATATGATAATATATCAAATGAGCTTGATATTCTATCAATAATCGCTCTAAAGTCCGATTAGATAAATCCATATCTTTATATTTTTATATATAGGTATGGATTTTCTAATCGGACTTTAGAGCTTGAAATTCTATCGGACTTTAGAGCTTGAAATTCTATCAACAATCGCTCTAAAGTCCGATTTAAAAATCCATACCTATGCATTTTTATATATAGGTATTGAGTTTTTAAATCGAACTTTAGAGCGAAAGCTTCTGTGGCTATAAAAAGCATTGAATATACATGTAGTTTAAAACAATTTTTCAGAAATACAAATCCGTGTAGAAAATGTTGGAATATGTGGTTCGGATTTAAGTTTCTGGAATCATAACGGAATCCCGGACTGTCTTGAAGGTAAAGATCCCTATGGTATAGGGCATGAGGGCGCGGGCATTGTGTCAAGGCTAGGTGAAGGAGTCACTTCCCTAAAGATTGGTAATGTATTCCTTATCTTTTATGTAGTGTATTACCTTTTTACGTTTTTAATCTATGATAATTGGAAATGTTTATTTGTATATGTATCCACGTTTTTATTTTTTACATTACTGTCATGTTATAACAGTATCTATCATTAAGTTCGTTTTATTTGCGACCATTCATTTTATTTTCAATGTCATTTCTTTCATTATTTGCATAAATGCGCATAACATTCAGTATGTTTACAATATTCTTTGAATCTGCCAAATTTTTCATTTGTCTCCACTATCCATTTGTTCACACCCTTAATTAGCTCATTTATGTCTGTTACTTTGACCGTTTGTTCTGTTGCCTGACTGGTCTGTTTCGAATTATCCACAATATCCTTTTTCATTGACAATTTACTCTGGTGTCGTGTTCATTCGTGTTCATTATTCGTATTGTGTTGCACATATATGTTGCTTTGTATTGTCCACTTTATCCTGCTGTATTGCTAACTTGTTTGTTGTATAATCATTCTTACTGTCCATTTATGTATGTTCGATTTTCCATTATCCGTTTGTTTTGTAGCATCACTCATCTTCGACTTATCCACAGGTTATCCACATTGCGTGTCTATTTTCTGTTTTTATTGCATTGTCCATTTCCTCTGCTGCATTGCTTGTGTGTTCTGGTATATTATCTTTAAAGAATAGGGTTTCACCAAAATATAAATATATTGTAATCATTATGTGTATGTTAATCAATATCTTGTATTTACTTTTTAACATTTAACAAATTTTCTGCCTCGATTTACTTTTCTTCAATTGATGGTCATTTAAGCTCATTGTATAGCTTCACCTTATTTTGGCAAGTGCATGAATTTGAGTAATTTTAAAACATCTGTAAATATATCTGCAGTTCATACTTCTGTTTTATAAACTGCTTTTTTGAACAACTATAAATGAACATATTGTTAGCAAACAAAGAAAATATAAGTCAGAATAATTTGAATTCTGATATAGCAAAACTTATGTACTATGCTTTGCGCCAGTGTGATGTCTCGTATTTATGCCTTGAGCATTTCTCTTCGTTTTTGATACATTCAAACAAAATTATGCTAAACACGTGCAAAAATAAAATTCATATAGGCGACAAGGTTGCCATGGATCCATTGGCAAGCTGTGAAAGGTGCTATGACTGTAAAACGGGACGGTTCAATTTATGTGAGAAAGTAGCGATATGCGGTTTCCCTGGACATTGGGGCTACATGGCAAGATATTTCGTCGAGAATGCTAAACATTGTTTTCGGTTAGCTGTATTTCAATATGTTTAAGAGAATGAAGACATTAACTACACATGTATAAAAAATATAGTGGTTACAGGAAAAAAAACATTATAATTTAATGCATGTATTTAAATACTAAATATATTGTCAATCTTATATTTGATAAATTTTATTCAAATTAGAACATTAAATATTATTTTATTCATATTAGAACATTAAATAGCGAACTCATCTTTTGTTTCTAAAAATGACTTTGATTAAATTAAAAAATACGTTGTAATTTTAGCATTTGATGCTTGTCTTTTGTCAAATTTAGTAAAAGTTAAATCATGTTAATTCAAGTTATACAATAAATGTATTTTTTAAGGTTACCAGATCATATTAGTACAGAAGAAGGTGCTATGCTCGAGCCTCTTGCTGTCGCCCTGCATGGATGCCGCCGTGCTGGTGTATCTGCCGGAAACAACGTTCTCATAACTGGAGCAGGTACGGATTTGTGTCACATAAAAACTAATAACAATATATCGAATCACTAATTATCGATAGGTTTGCGAATAGATCTTCCCTGTTTTGAATTCCATTATCAGTATTAAGACAATGATATAGAGGGGAATGGTCAGAAGTCAGCATACTTGACTATAGCCCCTAGACTTGTGGCAAAGGCATTGCAGTTTGCGTGAATCCAGAGGTGGTGTCAGGGGGTCATGATTTCCTCCCGTGATCTATTCTTTAAATTATCAACTTACGTTTTTTTTCATTGACAATCACGCAAATACTAGTACAAATCACTCAAGAATTTGACTCATAATCCCTCTAGAAAACAAATAAATGTCAACCCCACTGTGAAATATGCATTCTTTTAATGAAACTCTGCGACACCTTGGTAAAAGTTTCTTTATCCGCGCCTGGGCACAGTAACATAACAGGCGCCAAACTTGACATGTGTAACTTGCAAGTTATATTTGAATTGAATGCTCTTATCATAAGACAAATATTATCACCCTTCTCTAGAGGTAATATTTGTATCAGACAATGAATAAATGAATGAATGAATGAATGAATTTATTAATTAATTACAAGTGTATGTATTAATCTACAGATTAATTTGATTAGCCATTGAATTTCATTTCATTTTCAGGTCCTATTGGATTACTGGCCATGAAGGGCGCCAGAGCACTTGGTGCTTTAAAAATTTGTGTAACAGGTTTGTTGTGTGTCTTCTTGTCATAAAACAAAAATGAAAACATTTAGTCGATTGTGTGTTCATAAAATATAATAGAGCTAATATTTTCAGTTAGGAAACAAACTTATTGTTTGATAGGCTGGTTAATAGAATGTTGCACAAGTTGTACACAAATTGGTAGTACTCGTCAAGATCTTTGACTTGTCAAAGTTATGATTAAGAATGAACTCAGAGGTGTATAAATTTGAGATTTTGTACGTATATGTAAACTCTCAAACCCTTATCATGGGGTATCTTGAGGAGTCTTGGAAATAATTGATAGTGTTTGATAATGTATAGTATTTTATTGGTTTCATATACAATGTACATGCATGTATGCCATTGTTTTATCTTGTTCTGTACATTGATTGAATTATACATATATGTTATTGAGACTCTAGTAAATAAACTAATACTTTCTATATATTTAAGTATGTATTATTTCTACATGACAAATGCAGGTGTATGTGATTCAAAGAGTAATAATCCTTTATCAATGAATATTGTTGAACTCTGTATGTGTGCACTATTTCTCTATTTTATTTGACTAATATTTGTATTATTTCTCTGATTCGGTTATATATGTACATGTATGTCATTTATCACTTTATTACAGATGTAAATGAAACTCGTATTAAACTGGCGAAGCAGTTAGGAGCTGATTATGCATAATCCTTTATCAATGAATATTGTTGAACTCTGTATGTGTGCACTATTTCTCTATTTTATTTGACTAATATTTGTATTATTTCTCTGATTCGGTTATATATGTACATGTATGTCATTTATCACTTTATTACAGATGTAAATGAAACTCGTATTAAACTGGCGAAGCAGTTAGGAGCTGATTATGCTCTAGACGTGACATCAAAAGAAGCACTGGAAATTGAAAAAATGGTAGAGGAGTGTTTTGGAGAGAAGCCTCACATGACAATAGAGTGCAGTGGAGCACCGACTGCCATTCAAGCAGCCATTAGGGTAAATAATTTAATGTCAACTAGACTAACTGCACGATTTTAAGTATACCGACGATTATGTGCATCTCGTTCATTGTATTATGACTGATTATTTAATTTTGACTGATTATTTAATTTAGATATGGGAGTTTATGCAATTAACTTATTAACAAAACTAAAGATGATCTAAAGATAAAGGATTGAAAACGAAGGACTTTCATAATAAAGTATACAAAAAATGTTGATGAATCTTAAAATTGACTAAATGACGAGTAGGCATGACTACTACTAGTATTTGCATTTTCCAGCTCAAAAGAATGGTTGTTTGATAAAAAACTAATAATTATTTGGTTAAAAAAAGATTTTAAGACAACGTTGATGTATATGAGAATATGTGACAATATTTCGATTTTACATGCATGTCATTTGTTGCATGATGACCATGCAGCGGTTGAATCAATGTGTTATTCGTATCATCTATGTTTTTTGTTTTTCAAGTCTACAAGAAATGGTGGCCGTGTTTCGCAGATCGCACTAGGGGAAGGAAATGTCACAATACCGATGATTAACGCTTCCTTTAGGGAAGTCGATATCTTAGGGATTAGGTCAAACCCGTATTGTACCCCATTGGCTCTGGACCTTGTTGCTTCCGGTAAATACACTCTACTTGTAATCTTGAATAGGATCGATTTGATCTTTCTTCAAATAATAATGTGCACATTAGATTTTTTGTAATTGCTCATTTAATTGTTCAAAATTTAAGATATGTAGAATAGTGTCTCCTGTCCCAACTTAAACAGTATCGCCCCTTTGAAAACGTTTTATGCTGTTATTTCCAAACTAAGATATATGAATAAACTAATAAAAAATATATATATTACAAAATATCATACGTTGTTGTGATATTAATTTCAGGCCGGATTGACGTTAAGCCCCTTGTTACACATAGGTTTGATTTGGAAAATGTTGCTGAAGCTTTTAAAAAGGCACAGACACGTGATTGTGGGAAGGTCATGGTCAGATGTAACAAGGACTAATTGTTGTCGTGACATTTGACTGTAACAGTATGTTAAACAACAAGAACAACAAACAATTATTAAACATACCTATGCGGACAGTGTCACTTTAAAACGATCATCTGTTCAAATATGAATGATTATATTTTATACAAATCTTAAGTATTTAATGCAGGTAAACTGGTTGATAAGAATATTGATAGATTATAATCTTTGGTAACCACATCTGATGACCTAAGTTACAGTCTGATTTGAAAATGAAAAGATCAATCTTGTGAGATTGTGCTTGTTTACTATAATATTTGCAATTGTGTTGAGATTCAAAAAGAAATTATTTGCTTTTAAATGAAAACAATTGAAACAAGACATGTCTGTATGTTATGTTTATGTGAGATATAAGAAGCTATCAAATATACTAACAAGTATGCATTTCGTATGTAATAATTATATATAGAATACATTTATAATTTTTATATATTCAAATATATCTTTATCGTGGTGTTTTTATCATATACACATATAGTAACTAAATATGAATCTTGTGTGTTGTTTTTTAAGTTATAAAACGATTAACTGTTAAAGTAAACAACTAAAAATGGGCAATATTGATCACTTTTTATGTCCATTTTCCTACAGACGTGTCTTGTACCGACTGTCAAGTTTTCCCAATGGTACCAATGTTTACGGACACAATTTGTTATTGATAGATTAATAATGGCAGATTTGCACAAAAAAATTAGGATCAATTTTATTTATTATAACATTAATTAGACTGTACCAAAGAACAAATTTATGGCTAGATGCCATTGCTACCATTTGGCACCAATGTCTATAATATTGCCATTGACTCAAATAGTATGATTAAATCCGTTCAGAGTAAATTGTCTACTAGTGGCATCAATGATTATTCATGATACCAATTTTATTTTAGTATTGATACCACTAAAAATACTCTGAACATTATCTTAAACAATACACGTCAATATTTCTTATCCGGAACTAGACAAATATGGGATTTTCCAAGCTAACCCTACAGTACAAACAATGTTTTACCGTAATAGCTTCAGGGTGCACCACTGTGTATAAAAGAGAAGTCAACCTGTTGCGCTTACTTTCGACGGTATAACTGTTAATTTATTGGGGGAAAACTCCTTGGTACTATCAGGCTTTCTGATCTTGTTATGCCCCCTTCAAAGAAGTGGGGGTATATTGCTTTGCTTTTGCCTGTTTGTCTGTCGGTCGTTCGTAGACTAAATGGTTTCCGATCAATAACTAAAGAACACTTAGGCCTAAAAACTTCAAACTTAGTATGATGATTGTTCATGACCAGTAGATGACCACTATTGATTTTGGGATCAAGGATCAAGGTCATCTTGACCTTGTACATAAAACCGGTTTCCGATCAATAACTTAACAACCCATGGGCTGTTTGCCTTCAAACTTTGAAGGTGCATTGGTCTTGGCAAATAAATGACCCCTTTCGATTTTGAGGTCGAGGCTTTACAGATCAAGGTCATATTGACCTTGTAGGTTAAAAAGGTTTCCGATAAATAACTTGACAACCCATACGCTGTTAGCCCTCAAACTACATAGGTGCATTGCTCTTGGAAAGTAGATTACCCCTATTGTTTTTGGGTCAATAGGTCAAAGGTCAATGTTACATTGACCTTGTATGTCAAAACGGTTTCCTATCAATTACTTGACAATCCATAAACCCTTTATCTTAAAACTTCACAAATACATTGCATTTGGTCAGAAGATGACATTAATGGATTTTTGGTGCCAAAGTAACAGAGGTCAAGATCACATTGACCTTAAAGGTAAATATTCTTTCTGATAATTATCTCAATAACTCATGGGCCTTTTACCTTCAAATTTCACAGGTGCATTGGTCTTGGCCAGTAGAAAACTCATATTGATTTAAAGGTCAAAGGTCAAAGTCACACTGACCTTGTATATAAAACCAATTTCCGACCAATAACTCAAGAACTCAAGTTGCCTTAGTTGATATTTTTATTAAACTAAAATGCTTTTGGTATACACATTTCAAGGTCTAATGTAATATAACAATTTGGCTGTCGTGAAGAAGGCCTGCATGATTCATAAAATATATGCATATATTATTTGATAAGATTTGTGATAACTTTGTCATATAATTGCTGCACACAACATTTACGGTTACACAATTACCTAGTTACTAGTGTTATGTATGCAACATATAACATGTATATAATTTATATCTGACCAGTTGGTATTTCCAATATTATCATTGTTCTATTTTTAGAACATAAACTACATGTATGTACTAGAACTTTCTTAACTGTTGTAGAATACTCATGCTTTATAATTAGATAGAAATTTCCGGAATGATCTTTATTGTTGAAGTTGCTAGATTATGATTACTGTAGAAAATGGAAGACTATTCTAGAAACTTCTTAGCTTAATATATATAGAAGACATTTTTCTTTCGTATTACCTTTTAAGTCATCAGTGATCTTTGAAGTCATCAGTTACCTTTTAAGTCATCAATATATTTGGAGTATTATTAAGTGATTTATTGGAGCTTGGATTATTTTAAAATAGTTAAAATTATTCTTGTGGATTTTATTGTGGGAATTTATTCTAAAGTGTTCTTGGATTTTACTTGGATTTAACTGTGCTATTCAAAAAGGGATCATTCCAGGATCAGACTAGACATTTGAAATTTACATTTTTATTTGGACTTCAGGTATTTGTAAACATAATTTGTTATTTTATTTTTCTTTAATAATTTTCTGTAATAAATTTGTTATTGTTACAAGTTTGTTGCTGGCTTTTCTTTCTCGTTACGCCTGGCTCGTAACAGAAATTGGGGGCTCGTCCGGGATTGAATATTTCTTTTTGGCTACATTATTGGAAATTATTACCGTTTATTTTACATTTTATTATTACAATATTTACTCATTTGAGTTGATATCATAGTTGTTCTATTAAGTGTGCCTTTCAATTCTGAATTTTTTTTTAAACACACCATATTTAAGTTTAAAACCAGCAGCAAGCAGTCATGTCTTTTGATTTAGAAAAGTTTGTAGCTGAACCTTCCCAGGAGGTATTAGATTTGGCTAAGAAAACTGATTTGCTTGATCTTGCAAAAAAGTATAATTTATCAGAAATTAAATCTTCAATGCGTAAACAAGAAATTAAAAATCTTCTGATTCATTATTTTGTGGATGAAGATATTTTTGGAGAAGATGCACTTTCTCACATTGTTGAAAAACACTCTGAAATTTCTGAAATAAAGATAAAAGAGCTTGAACTTCAATTTAAATTTGAACTAGAGAAAATGCAGTTAGAAAAAGAAAGGGAAGAAAGACAGTTAGAAAAAGAAAGGGAAGAAAGACAGATGGAAAAAGAAAGGGAAGAAAAAGAAAGGGAAGAAAGGCAGTTGGAAAAAGAAAGGGAAAGGGAATTTCAGTTAAGAATGAGAGAATTAGAAATCAAAGAGAGAGCAAATCAGTTTGAACATAGAATAAATTCAAAATTTGATGTCACTAAAAATATTAGACTTGTTCCACCTTTCCAAGAAAAAGAAGTTGATAAGTATTTTCTTCATTTTGAAAAGGTTGCTGAAAATTTAAAATGGCCAAGAGAGCACTGGACATTACTTTTACAGAGCGGCTTAACTGGTAAAGCTCGTGAAATCTATACACAGCTTACTGTTGAACAAAGCTCTAATTATGATAATGTAAAAGAATTAATTCTGAAAGGTTATGAGTTAGTACCAGAGGCCTACAGGCAAAAGTTCAGAAATTCTAAGAAAGAAATTGGTCAAACCCATGTCGAATTTGCAAGAGAAAAAGAACAACTATTTGATCGGCGGTGTCTATCTAAGAAAATAAATAAAAATCATGAGAAGCTCAGACAGCTCTTGTTAGTTGAAGAGTTTAAACGTTGTATTCACTCTGATGTTAAATCTTTCTTAGATGAAAAACAGGTAGAAACTTTAGAAGAAGCTGCCCGTCTAGCTGATGATTATTCTTTAACCCACAAAGTCTCATTTTAAATAAAGGGAAGTCCACACCCTCACATTTTAATTCAAAGTTCAGTTCTGGTAATTTATCTGGCTTATCTAGTCAGTCAAATACTCCCAAACCAAAGTCATCTGATGAACATAAAGGTCATAATCCATTATCTCGTCCTACATGCAATTATTGCAAGAAAACTGGACATCTTATTTCTGATTGCTTTACCTTAAAAAGGAGGCAACAGCAACGTGATGAGGCCAAACCCACAGGTCTAACCACTTCAAGGTCTGAACCTCAGTCTTGTATTGATAACAATGCAATTTTGAAAGTCAAAGAACCCAAGTCTGATTCTATAATGGAGATTTATGAACCATTCCTTTCGGAAGGTTCCGTGTCACTAATCGGTGATACTTGCCCACCTACTCCTATTAAAATTTTAAGAGACACAGGAGCTTCTCAATCTCTCATTTTAGCAGATACACTGCCTTTTTCTGAGAAGACTTCTTCTGGATCTAGTGTCCTTATTCAGGGTGTAGAGTGTGGATTTTCTAATGTCCCTCTCCATAATATTTATTTGTCCTCAGATTTGGTAACTGGGCCAGTGGCTGTAGGTATAAGATCTTTCTTACCCTTTAAAGGTGTTCATTTATTGCTAGGTAATGACATAGCTGGAGATAAGGTAGTGGTTAATCCACTTGTAACTGACACTCCTTGTGTGGATCAGATACCTGACCCCATTGAGCAGGAAATTCCTGACCTTTACCCTTCATGTGCAGTTACTCGAGCTATGGCTAAGAAAGCCATTCAAGAAGACAATTTTTGTTCAGATATTGACTTAGCTGATACTTTTATAGGTCAGTCTTTTGATAATGAAATAAATTTTTCTCTCACTCCTACTCTGCCTGAAACTCAGACAGATGCTTCAATATCTGACTTTTCTACACCAAGATCTAAAGATCAAGGTCATGACACGCTGTCAAGGTCACAGCTTATCCAGGAACAACAAAATGATCCTGAGATTTCTGTCCTTTTTCAAAAGGCCTTTAGTGAAGATGAAGCTTTACAAGTCCCTGTTTGTTATTATGAAAAGAATGGGATTTTAATGAGAAAATGGCGACCGCCCGATGTCCCTGCTGAAGAGGAATGGACTGTTAATCACCAAATTGTGGTCCCTAAATCATATCGCCAGGAAGTATTAAGCTTGGCTCATGAAACACCAATGGCAGGTCATTTAAGTGTTAATAAAACCTACCATAAAATTCTCAGTCATTTTTATTGGCCTGGCCTTAAAGCAGATGTTTCTAGGTACTGTAAATCTTGTCATACTTGTCAGATGGTTGGCAAACACAATACCTAAAGCTCATTTACAGCCTATTCCTGCATTTGATGAACCTTTTAGTAGAGTTATTATTGACTGTGTAGGTCCATTACCAAAAACTAAATCAGGTTCTCAGTACTTATTAACTATTATGTGTGCTTCTATGCGCTTCCCTGAAGCTATTCCTTTAAGAAATATAAAAGCCAAAACTATTGTCAAGGCTCTTGTGAAATATTTTACATTTGTTGGTTTACCTAAAGCAGTTCAGTCTGATCAAGGGTCAAACTTCATGTCTGGTATTTTCCAGCAGGTCATGCATGAGTTAGGAATTACTCAATATAGGTCTTCAGCCTATCACCCTGAAAGTCAAGGTGCATTAGAAAGATTTCACCAGACTCTGAAAAATATGATAAGGTCATATTGTTTTGACACTGAAAAAGACTGGGATGAAGGCATCCATTTATTGTTATTTGCTGTAAGAGAATCTGTTCAGGAATCTCTTGGTTTCAGCCCTTTTGAATTAGTATTTGGTCACACTGTCCGAGGACCCTTAAAACTTCTAAAAGAGAAATTCCTGTCTGAAGATGACATATCTTTAAATTTGCTTCAGTATGTATCAGATTTTCGAAATAGGTTGACTAATGCATGTGAGTTAGCTAGGCTTAATTTAAAATCAACACAAAGTAAAATGAAATCAAGGTATGATGAGAATGCTCAGGAAAGAAGTTTTAACCCTGGTGATAGAGTACTTGCTCTTTTACCTATACCTGGAAAACCATTACAGGCAAGATACTTTGGTCCTTATACTATTGAAAAGAAAGTCAGTGACCTTAATTATATTATTAATACTCCTGGGAGGCGAAAGCAAAAACAAATGTGTCACATAAATATGTTAAAAGAATATTTTGACAGAGATAGCAAAATTAGTAAACCTATATCTTTTGTAAACTCTGTTCCACAAAATCAAGTGAATTTTGTCATGCAATTTTAACATTTTTAGGACATGTAGTGGGACAGGGTAAAGTTAAACCAATAGAAGCTAAGGTCAAAGCTATCTCTGAATTTCCTGTGCCTACTTGTAAAAGACAACTGATGCGATTTCTTGGTATGGCAGGGTATTATCGTAAATTTTGTAATAATTTTTCGGTTATTGCAGAACCATTGACAAATTTGCTAAAGAAAAGAAACAAATTCATTTGGAATGACAAGTGTCAAATGGCATTTGACAGCCTTAAAGCCATACTTAAGAGTGCACCAGTTCTCTTGGCACCAGATTTTAATAAAAACTTTAAGTTAGCTGTAGATGCTAGTGACATAGGTGCTGGAAGTGTATTGATCCAAGAAGACAACAAGTAAAATGGTTTTCTGCAGGGAACATTTTTAACGATATAAAGATATTTCATAATTTATATAGTTGACAATAATCGATCAATATAGAAGAAGGTCTTTGGAAACTGGTGACCGTTGAAGACCGGAGAAGGTCGAACATAAAACAATTATTTCTTTTTAAGAAAATGATAAATAGGCCAACCATTTTACGAATAATTCCGAGCAAACAAAGAATAAAGTAAACACACACGTTTACGCAGAAAATATCTCTATTTATTATGGCAGATGCCACTACGAATATTTTAATTCGTAGATTTTCAGTATAAACAATTTATTGTTTGTAAAATTTGAGATAGATTTTAAAGATACATTGATCATTTTCAAACACATTCAAGTTTTTCCACCTTAAACGGTAACATAATTATAGAAAATTAGAAATATCACGTTATAGTTTTTTGTTCTTAATTAGGTCTAATTCGGACTAATTCCCTAGAGGTAAATCCGTAACGTACCGGCAAACGGTATTTAGCTAGGTTTTCAAAAAGGTTAATTAACCAATCATGTACGGTTTACAGATCACATGCTCCTCCATGTACCGAAAACAGGTCACGTGCTCCTCCATGCCTCAAAAGTTAAACGCGTACCAATACCCTGCGGTCTCCACTTTTTACAAGAAGGTATTTTAAGTTTTTACTATATGTACATAGTGAAAATCAATGACCCCCAGGGCGGGGCCAATTTTGACCCCAGGGCTATAATTTGTACAATCTTGTTAGAGGTCTACCAGACAATGCCTTATGCAAAATATCTAAGCTCTAGGCCTTTTGGGTCTTTACAAGAAGATCTTTTAAATTTATTCTTATAATTCATTTTGGTTGCCATGGCAACCAATTTCTGCATGGAATGAAATTCTTTGAACAACTTTGGAAGCCTTTTACCCAAGGAACAATCCTGTCAAGTTTGGTTGAAATTGGACCAGTGGTTTTTCACAAGAAGATTTTTTAAGTTCACTATATAATCTATATAACACACACACAAACACACACACACACACATAGGTGAATCGCTATATGCCACCGTATGGCAGATGCTGCGGTGGCATAAAAACGGCAAAACCAACATGTTGAATTATTCTTTTTAATTTACTTTGCCGGTCAAGGTCAAATTTTTGAAACTTGCTTAGTCATAACTTTTTGTTTTTTCTGCACAGATTTGATTTATACTTGGACAAAAGAACAAATGTGGCAAAACCAACATGTTGAATTATTCACTTATGACCTTGACTTTTAAATGAACTTGATGAACATGAAGTCAAATTATAAGATTTAGCAAAAACTGCCATAACTTTTTTTATTGATGGATACAATTTATATTGAAACAAATGAAATATTATGAAAGAATTGACAATTTAATACAAAACAAGAACTGTTGGAGGACAATAATGCTTGACTATTCGAAAAGTTGTCACAAGGGTGTTTCATTGAGAATAATAATGCTTACCTATATGAATACATAAAATTGTCCGAAAAGGTACAAAGGCTTGCTATTACGATGTTTTATCAAGTTAATCTCTGCTTTATTATTATTATGATTGCATAAAATTGTGCCAAAAAAGGCACAAACCCTTCAGTAG